TCACTTCTTTTAAGCTATGAAGTCATTGACTAAGCAACCACAAATAGGACCCAGCATCTCTAGGGGACTCAGACAAGAATCAAGTACGCTCTACCTATAAACTCAAGAATGCTGAGAAGCAACCACCAAATTTACTTGAAATGATATGGTTTTCTTAGGTGGGGGTGAAAAGAATCACTCAATGTCTGCAGCTCTGGGTCTCATACCCAAAGGAAATTTCTGGCAAGTGATTTGCCTTGGTTACCTGGGATGGTTATTAATTATCTTTTTTAGTGAATGTGTATTTTTTCAATCCTGGCTCATCAGTCAGGGGCTAGTCAAAGGACAAAGGCAGTATCAGTTATTTTAACAGAGAGAATTTAATATAAAGAATTATTAATTAGGAATTGGACAAATAAAATGGCAGTGAAGGGACCCAGAGGAATCACAGAGGTGATAACTACACGAAGCAACTAACACCCTTAGAACTGGGGAAACAAAAAGAAGTGTTAGGGGTTTTTGAAATTTTAAAAGTTAGAGGAGGGGCCTCTGAGGGCTTCAGAATTCTAAGGAGGGGCCCCAGGCTGGACAGAGCTTGTATCTCTAAGGGGAGATGTTGAGGCTGGTTCTGGGAATGTGAATAAGCTGCAAACAGTAACTCAATACTGCTGCTGGACCCAGCTGTCTGTGCCAGGTGATGTGGACAAAGACAGGATGAGCCCAGCTCTTCTCCCTCCACCAGCCCCCCCCAGGCTCTCTTTAGCGCCCCTAAGTGGCAGAACCTACCAGGGACCCAGCTGACAAAGCAGCAATGTGGTTTGCAGAATCCCAACCACACTGCATCACAAAAAAAGGAAAGGCTGGAAACAGAGACAATAGCTCACCAACACTCCAGTAGTTTAGATTTAAGGGTAGAAATATTTAAAAGAAACAAAACCATAGCAGTAATATTTTATATTAGGAAGGAATATGTGCCTATTTGGTGTTTCAGAATGTGATATTTAAGATAGTGGGCTTAATAAAGCCCACTAGAGTAACAGTTTTACCAGCAAATCACACTGCCACGTGTGTACCTATGCAACAATCTTGCATGTTCTTCACATGTACCCCAAAACCTAAAATGCAATTAAAAAAAAATCGAACTTAAAAAAAAGAGTAAGTTTTACAACTCTACTTTAAAATGTATAATTTAGAATTAATTTAGATTTGCGACTTTTTTATGGTGACATCTAAGTTTAATTCGAGTATAAAAACATTTCAGAGGACTTAGATTTCTTTTTCAATTTATTAGCTTCTATAAGAGTTTAAAATTTGGGATGATTTTGCTTGCTGTCAAAAAAAAAGACAAATTACTTAATAAATAAATAAATGTATTAAATTTATAAATTTGTTTAAAAGTGTATGAAATGCTGAGCTATGCTTGTAAATAAGAGCAAGCATTATTCAAAGACTTCTCAAAGTTATTGCTAAGATCTGTTAGACTTATAAAATAGAATAAAATTTGTAAGCTGAATTTCAAAGCATAAAAGTTTAAACTTTGCATCTGAAATGGATGATTCTAAAGACAAAATTATATTATTTATTACATTATTACTAATTATTAAACTTACTACTTTTTTTTAAAAAATTTAACTTTAACTGAATCTTTTTCTACATAAGAAATTTACTGTCCAGGATACCAGAGTCCTCCACCCCCACTCCCTACGCCATGAGGTTTTCTAGAAATGGTTGCAGAAAAGTAACAGATGCAGCTTTGTTCCTCAGCTTTTCTCGAAACCCTGAAACATCTCTTGCCTTGTAGTCAACTGAGGAGATTATGCAGCTGGCTTAGCTATTCTTCATTTTCTATCAGGCTACAGTACCTCCTAGAATAGAAAAGGATACCACTGGACTTGGGGTGAACTTGGGGTCAAGTCCCAGCTCCATTGCTTAAAAGACCCAAGGCTCAGTTTGCTCATCTCCAAAATGGGGGTGATACCTGCCTTGCAAGGTTATTGTAAGGAATGGCATAGTACTCTGCCCTTATGCTAGATTCCTGAATTCCGAGAGGGTTGGGGCAAGGTAGGTTCTTGCCTGAGCTCGCTGGCCTGGGACACTCCCTCTTCTTGTCAGGAGAGCTTCTTCAAAGAGATGGCCCTATGGCAAACAACAGGTGCTCTCATTCTCCCTCAGGCAGGTGTCCCAGGTCCCCAAGCAATCAGACAGGGGGCAGGCCAAGACAAATCGCTGGCTCTGGAGCAAAACATCATCCCTGTGAATAGGGTTAACTCTCTGGAGGGAGGTGGCAGACACTGGCTGGAGCAAAGGGGAGGATTTGCAAGAAAGGCTCAGAGTTCCACCTGTGTTCACTGGGTCACCTGGCCACACAGCCTCAGTTGGAACATGCTTGGAGAGAGCCATGTGTGGAAGATCCCTACCTGGAGAAAAAGGAGAGAGTGTCCTTACTGCACATACCTGGGAGGGACAGGGTGGAGATCAGAATTATGCCATCCCATTCATTTGTTCAATGAACATGACTTAGAAACTTCTCTGTATTGTGAAGCCCTAGGCCTGCAGATAGAAATCCTACACAGTCTTGCCTTCCTGGATTAAGCCCCTGAAAAAGTGCAGAGGTTGAAGTGGCTCCTTCTGTCTGGAGAAGTGTTGGGGAGAGCCCCCAGGGAGAGGGAACAGTGGGAGCATGGCAGGAGGTATGGAGATGGAAGGCACAATGAACAGTTCCTGGCACAATGAACAGTCCTGGTGAAGCTGTTGGCTCCAACTCCGGGGAGTCAAAGCGCAGCCAATGAGGCTGGGAAGGTAGGTGGGGCCAGATTGTGAAGGATCCTGAAGTCAAGTTCACATGTATGGATTTTATTGAAAGCCAAGGAAAAGTTTTAAGCACGGGTTGCATCTTAGATCAAATGGGAATGTCTATAAGGGAGAGATGGAGTCTACACAAATACAGGTAGTTCCAAGTTGTGCAAGACCAGACTGGAGATGGTAAGGGCCCAACAGAAGGCAATGGGGCAATTAGAGATTGGAGCCTGGGACTATGGAATCATGGTCTCTGTGGGAATCTAGGCCATGGTGGGTGGAGGTCAGGCCATAAGATCTCCAGGCCATGTCACTGAGTCCCCCCGGACACCGAGACCAGCACTTATATGCTGCAGTTTCATCTTCCCAGGCTCCCCAGTACACCCCATGGCAGGCCTTTCTCCTGCTGGGAGAGAGATGTCAGCAGAGGAGGCAGCAGGACAGTACCCACAGAAATCTCCAGTACAGCCGAGAAGGAATGGAGATGATAGCAAGCATGCCAGAGAGGACACCAGTGCATCTCTGGCCAGCGGAGGGGCTCAAGGACATTTAAGGATTTTCAGAAGAGCTTCAGCCAACTTACCCCTGCTCCTTCACGTGAAGACAGGGTCAGCCTCTGGGGTGGACACTTTTTGTCCATCTTGCTTTCCTACTCTTCCTATAAGATTCCACTGGTCAGGACAAGGAGTTTCCAGAGCAGCTAAGCTGGTCTTTCGGGAGCTTGCCACCCACAAAGAGTAATCAGTAGAAGCAGCAAAAACTAAGGATTATGTGGTAATCATTATTCTGTGGGGCAGAATAATAACTCCTCCTACCCCATCCAGGATGTCCACATCGTAATCCACAGTACCTGTATTGTATCCTACAAGGCAAAAGGAACTCTGCAGGTGTGATTAAAGACCTTGAGATGGGAGATAATTCTGGATTACCTGGATGCACTCAACGTAATCGACAAGGGTCCTAGGGAGGCAGAATATAGTTTGGAGAGATGCCATGTTAAAGGGATTCAACTCACCATTCACTGCTGGCTTTGAAGATGGAGGAAGGTCATAAGCCAAGGAATGTGGGCAGCCTCTAGAAGCTGGCAGAGGTAAGGAAACAGATTATCTCTTAAAGCTTCCAGCAAGGAATGCAGCCCTGACACCACCTTGATTTCAGCCCAGTGAGACCCTTGTCAGACTTCCAACCCACGAACTATAATAATAAAGGTGGTGTTTTGAGCTGCTAAGTCTGTGATAGGTATGGCAGTGACCAGAAACAAAGCAGATCATAAGGATGGCTCCTTGTCACTCAGGTCTTGGTTCAGTCGACATGAAGACAGACCTCCTTTGGCCATTCTGTCCACAGTCGTCCTTTCTTCATTCTTCAGTCACTGGCATTTTGCCATTTCATCCAGGGTTGTGTGGTAGTCACAATGTTTGTGTTGCCCTGATTTCCAGCCTTCCCCACTAGATTGTAAGCTCCATGATGGCAGGCACCTTGATTATTTGTCCTTACCATATCCCTAGGGCCAAGAAAAGTGCCTACACACAATGGAAGCTCCACAAATGTTCAGTGCATGGATGGGTGGGAAAATGAATATGCTGGTGCACTGCTATGTCAATGGGCACACTAATGACATGAAACCTATTGAGGCAGAATGATCAGTGGTTATTTACCATAGTTATAACCTGCAAAGTCTCAACCAAAACATACACTCCTTTTACACCCTACAGGATTGCTAATCAGTCAGCCTCTTCAATGACTCTTATTAAGCCTTTAGAGATCTCAGACTACTGCTGCTATAGGCCTCCTAGAAGTATTTATGCAGAGTAAAATCTTACAAATTTCCTCTGCGAAACAGAATTGTAGGAGAATATATGAGATCATCCGTGAGTAAATATGGTAAGTGTTCCCTCTAGGTCAAATACTCTGAGAAGAAAGGCCAGGCTGGTTTTAGAAAAAGTGTTGGCTTCTCAGACTTTTGTCTGTATTTTCTAAGCTCCACAATCTGTTTCTCCAGAAAATAAGTTTCCAGTCCAGTTCAGGAGTGCAAACAAAACCCAGGGGAGATTGACTGAGCTAAGGCTTCTGTCTGACTCTGGAGTGGAGGCAACAGGAAAAGAGATGAGGAGGCAGAAGTGGGGGCAGGGAGTTGGAGGGAAGGATGCACCAAGATCTAATTTGACTGCTATACTTGCAAATTCAATCAAGACACCCTTGGGACAACCAGCATGAGAATAGGGTAACATGGACAAAATGTTTATTGAATCCATTTTGGAAACAGACCACATGAAAGGTTTCTATGAGCTCACTCGGAGTTAAGAGTCACGATTGCTTCCTGTCATTAAACGCCAACCATAGGAAAATCCTAGCATAAATAATGAAAATGAATCTAGGAAAGAAAAAGTGGTTAAAAACACTTTGGCTGTCACTCTTCCAGTAGCTCTCTGATAGCTAACATGCCCATAAACATCAATAAAATTTGTATAGGTACAGTCTATTTACTGCACAGATGTCAAATGTGTGTATCAATGATAAAGTTGTAAACTGGCTAACCATCATCAGCAATTAAGTACACTGGGTCTATACTGATAGTCCCATTCTCATTTTAAGAGCTTATATATTTAATTGATGACTCCTGATCAGGGACATTTAAGACATGGAAAAGGCATTTATACACACACACACACACACACACACACGCACACACACCTATGATTAACCTTATAAACTGAAAAGGCATTTATACAAACACACACACACACACACACCTATGATTAACCTTATAAACCCAAGCATGATTAATTACTTTGCCGGATCAATAAATACTAGTCTCAAATGTTAAGTGTACTAATCAGGACAGAAGCCATCAGTTACATAAATCATCATGTTGCTACCTACTGATGTTCCATTTGCTAATGCATGTTAGCCAATTTGTAGACTTTATCCAACACATACATAGAGATTATTTTTTGTTTGAAATTCTTAGCAGATCAGCAGATTGCCTTTGGACATTTCTCTCCCATTGCTCATAGGATGAAAATTAAATAACTCTTAAAATATCTAAATTCCAAGTTCTAAATTCGAAGAGCACAATTCTAATCATATTTCAAATCTTCACCCAGAAGGGAAATGCCATCAAGAGTTAGGTAAGCTTAGAAGTTCTCATCACTGTGGCAGCTTAGACTGATCTTCACCTCCTCCCAGCACCCTCTTGCCATATTGGAAGCCAAGGTAGCTCATCTCTTTGAGATTTTATAAACACCAGCAGGCAAGTTCAGAGGGGGAGCCTTGTCTTTTTTCCTGGAGCTGTTATCAGTAAGATGGACAACTACAAAGAGGAGGATAGGGATGCAAGGTGGATAAAAACTCCCAGAGCGGGAGGGAGCAGTGGAAGGATGCAGCACAGTGCCAGGGCCTGCTTCCCCCAAGTGCTTCACGTGCCAGAAATTCCAGGCCTTTCTTTGACCACAGGGAATAAACATCCCATCCCTCCAAAAGGTCCTGCCCACATATCCCCTCTCCATGCTTCCTGGGAAAATCCATTCCATTTTCCATGCTTCCTGGAAAAATCCTCTGCCCATGAGGCAAACTGGGTCTCCCCATCCCAATGCAGCTTTTCCTAAAAACCATGAAATTTATAAATTTTCACAAGCCATTGCAGAATCAAGTCCAGCTGCTTCCAGAGCTCTGTGACATAAGAAACCTGCCTCCCATGGATCCTTATCCTGAACCACTTCCAGTCTCCTTTCCCAGGAGCTCTGCTTGCTTTTTTAGTGTGAAGACTCACCCCATTGGAAATGAACAGTGCAAGATCCTACGTGCAAAATTTGCAAACTTTTTTTTTGAAACGATACACATTTTAAAAATTCAAGTCAAATCCAGGTACAGGCTAGTTGGTTGGCATCAGTTGGCCCCTCACACCCACCATAGGAAAGCATGGTGAGAAAGTCTGTTTCTGAAATGAGAGAGACAAGAGGTACCAGCTACTTATCTGGGGGTGAGTTTCTTGAGCTTGAGAGGAAGCCTGAGAGGGAAATGCTGAGGCTCAATGAAAGACAGGGCAGCTTCAGCCTCGCAGCCTTCCTTGGTCAAAAGCCAAAGGCCTCTGTGCAAGCAGCACATAGGATCAGGTTGTAGGTGAGGATAGATCCTCACCCACCAGAGGGGTAACTATTTCCCAGCAATTCTGAAACTAAAATAAGGAAGGCACATTCGCAGACCACGCTAGGTAAGGGCTGCAGGCTATTTTCACTCTACACAAAATGGGGGAAAGGAATTTCCTCTCTACTCATTTTTCATCCATAAATCTCCTCATCACAAGGAACCTAAAGGGGAACTCCAAAGGCCAACACATCCTTGGTTGTTGTATGTGTGGTCTCGACAACCTCCTGCTCCAGAAATGACAGGACACTGGATATGCCACTGGGAGCATTAGGCAGTCCAGTCTTTTCCAGGGAAAGGCCTAGAGATGAGGATCTGAGTCAGGCTGGCAAGGTTGGAGTCAGAAAGTGACCATTAGACAGTCAGTCACTTTCAATTGACCACAAAGAAGTGTTCACAATCACCAAAATAAAGAGGCTGACAACAATGGTGTCCCCTGAGGGCATTTTGACCAGGAATGTATCCTAAAAGAAATAAGGCAGCATCGCATAAAGCAAGAGCCCCTCGGTAATCCATGAAGATGGAGGTGTCCTCATCCTGATTGCAAAACAAGAGGTGGAAAGGCCTCGGGTGGCAACTCAGCTGAGGGAAGCACAGTTCAGCTCTGAGCCCTCCTGGCTGCCCCCGGCCCCCTCCTCCAGTCCGTCAGGGCTGTCGGTAATGCTGGGCTCACTGGAGCACTGCCGGTGAGGTGAGGGGAAGCTGGGTGGCAGGAGCAGGCATTTGTCCTCACTGCTGGCATCCTCCCCCAGGCCTGAGTGCATCATGGTGGCCATGGCCAGCAGCTGGATGTCTGAGTGGGCATTGGCCACCGTGTGCCGCCGCACGCTGCCACACTTCTCCAGGTAGGCTTCCCCCTCCTGCTCTGTCAGTGGGGTCAAGGCCATCTCATTCAGTGGCCGGCTGACTGCAGTTACCGGGGAGGCATAGTTCAGGACAGTCACCTTGGGCCGGACCCTGGAGTGCCGCCTGGCTGCAAGAGAAAAATCAGCAGACTGTTATTAAAGAGGGGATATTGGTGCTCAAAAGCCCCTAATCCAGCCGGGGGAAAAGAGCAAGGTGGTGGCTCAACCTTTAGGAGCAGCTCTTAGGCGCAGCCCAGCTACAATGCAAGGGACAAGCTTGGTGATATCTAAATGTTTCTTCTGCAACTTTACCTGTCTGTGCCAGATTCTGCCCCTAACCAACCCCACCCCACATATTAGGTGGTCACCAAAAGACTTTCCTTGATAGATAAGGGTCAAAAGAATCTCCTGTGTTTCTCAGCTGCTGCCTGAGCTTCACTGGATTTGCCCTAAATTCCCTTTCAATGTTTTCTGAGGACTTGGGCATGGGGTGGCCAGCTTTCAAAAGAAGCAACCCTGACTTCCTGTAGGAGTAGCCTCTGCCATGCCAACGGGTAACATAAAAGAGCCTTCATAAGCTGAAATCCAGAGGAAGAGATAACTGGGGAGTTACCTCCATTGTCATAGCCAAGGCAGCAGGACTATCTTGCAAATTATACAGAACTGGGACTACCCATGGCCCTCATCTCCTGCCGGGTGGAAGTCTCAGATTTATGTTCTGCTCAAGTCAGTTCTCCTGGACTCAAACAGCCATTAGCATCATCAAAGAACAGGCCAGGTTCTGTGGATTGCCCCAGGGAGGCAGACACAGGAGGGCTGGACACTAATGATAATACTGCTGCTTTTTGGCTTGAGACAGAGTTTTGCTCTTGTTACCCAGGCTGGAGTGCAATGGCGCAATCTCAGCTCACTGCTAAACCTCCTCTTCTCAGGTTCAGGTGATTCTTCCCCGTCTGCCTCCTGAGTAGCTGGGACTACAGACACCCACCACCATGCCTAGCTAATTTTTGTGTTTTTTTCTAGAGTTGAGGTTTCACCATGTTAGCCAGGTGGTCCTAAACTCCCAACCTTGGGTGATCCACCCACCTCAGCCTCCCAAAGTGCTGGGATTACAGGGGTGAGCCACAATGCCTGGCCTAAACTGCTGCTTTTGAATTCTCATCACGTTCCAGAAACTGTGCTAAACCTTGACATGTTATCTTTTGAATTCTCCCAAAAACTGAAGCTAAGTCATGGCATAGTACTAGCTTCCACTTTACAGATGAGAAAACTGAGTATCGGAGAGGGAACAGCTAACCCACAGTCATATAGATAGAAGGTAGTTTAAGCTGGGACTCAAACAAGGTCTGTCTCACTCCAGAGCCTTGCTCTTCTAGCTGCTCATGCAAGGCCCATGGACAATTAGGGTGAGTGAAGTAGCCGAAGGGAAGGAGGAACCAAGCAAAGGGGCTCTGAGGGCTGGAAAAAGCATGCCCATCTGGAGATAGGAAACTTGCCAGGAGGATGTACCCTGGAGAGGTGCCTTTAGGATGGCAGAACTCCCAGAAGTGGGGAAGGGGTGACAGAGCTGCTGAGATAGGTGCACCATCAGGTCACATCCTGGCTGGAACAGAGTCCAGGAGACAGTGAAGAGGTGCCCAGGCAGGCAGGATAGGCTGGCACGGGAGGGCCCTGGAATGGCAGATGGAAGCACCTGTGGTACATCAGACAGATCAGAGCAGAGCTTGGGGGAGGGAGTTAACATCACAGGTCATAGGGCAGGATGGGCTGTGCTCAGGAAGCTTCCTCAGGCAGAAGTGTGGCAGAACAGGTTGGAGTCAGCGAGGCCAGCAGTGAGGAAAGCTAGGAAGAAGACTCAGGTGTTCTGTTCTATAATAAATATGCATTGCATGTGAAAAAAAGTAATGCTAATCTCAGAGTCAGAGTGAGAGGTGATCAGGAACGGAAGTAGAGTTGTGATGAGGGTCAGGTGAGGAAGATGACTGCTGAAGACACCATAGACACTGATACCAGAGAACCCTGCAATGTGGTGGCACAGTGGCTCACACCTGTAATCCCAGAACTTTGGGAGGCTGAAGTAGGCAGATCATCTGAGGTCAGGAGATCGAGAGCAGCCTAACATGGTGAAACCCTGTCTTTACTAAAAATACAAAAATTAGCCAGGTGAAGTGGCAGGTGCCTGTAATCCCAGCTACTTGGGAAGCTGAGGCAGGAGAATCACTTGAACCCAGGAGGTGGAGGTTGTAGTGAGCTGAGGTTGTTGTTGCACTCCAGCCCATGCAACAACAGAGCAAGATTCCAGCTCAAAACAACAACAAAAACAACAAAAATACCCCGAAACTAAGAGATCCTAAGAGATCCTGGGAGCGGGCGGGAAGGAGGAGAAGGAGCTGTGGATGGAATGGCAGACTTGAGGGAGGGGCAAGGGATGGGGAGGAGGCAGATCGTGAGACCCAGCGCTGGGCCCCAGCCCCATTGTGTCTGAGATGCTGAAGGGACAACATCTTTGGGCAGACAGACATGCAGTTTTGCAGTTTTGAGCTGGGAAAACAAGTTTCTATCTAAAGACAGAAATTTAGTCATTTTCAAATAACATTTAAGGATTGTAAGAAATGTTTATAATATTTGGTGACAAAAGTAGAATATAAGCAACAGTATTATATGCATTTTGTCCCTTTTTAAGCCAAACTGGGGTTATACTGGGTGTCATATTCATCCACCACACCTACATATAAAAACTGGGAAAGGCATACATCAAAATATCTAGTTATCATCCCTGGGTAAAGCTGTTACCCAATGATTTTTAAAATTTCATTATCTTTTTATTGATATGTCTTTAAATGATATGTTCACTCCCTATGTGGGCATCATGACAAGAAGAAAACATCTTAGGACATGAATATCAGAGTCCTCTGGAACCTGGTAATGGCTGGGGCCCTCAGAGTGAAGGTGACCTCTGAAAATGAAGAGGGGGTAAAGGACTAAATTATTCTCGTGTGTGCATTTGTGCTGGATGGCTAAAATGAGAGGGGCTGAAAGTATTAACAACTAGCACACAGGATAGCACTTAAGCGCGTTGGGTGCTGATCTGAGCATCATGTAGCTATGAACTAATTAAATCCTCTCAACACAATGAGGTGGTTACTATTATCACCACTGCCACTTTACAGATGGGGAAATTAAAGCAAAGAGAGCTTAAGGTGCGTGGATCACAAGGTCAAGAGTTCGAGATCAGCCTGGCCAAGATGGTGAAACCCCATCTCTACTAAAAATAACAAAAATTAGCCAGGCATGGTGGCGTATGCCTGTAATCCCAGCTACTCAGGAGGCTGAGGCAGAAGAATCGCTTGAACCTGGGAGGTGGAGGTTGCAGTGAGCGGAGGTCGTGCCTTTGCACTACAGCCTGGGTGACAGAGTGAGACTCTGTCTCCAAATAAATGAATAACTTGTTCAACATTGCAAAGAAGAGGCAAAGCTGGGGCTGGAGCACAGATGGCAACTTCCAAAACCCAGGTGAGCCCCATTGCCTTTCCAGAAGGAAAGGGTGGGTCAGAGGGGCAGGAGAAGAACCAAAACACTCAGGTAACCAAAGCCTAGGGAGCAGAGTCCCAAGGGAGGAAGCAAATCTGACAGCAACACCCAACTCCCAAAGCCTCTCCTCTCCCACCTTCACATGGGCTGTGCCAGGGCAGAAACCTGCAGTTTGGAACAGAGTAAGCACCATGACAAGGCTGGGCCCTTGATCCCAGGGAAGTCCCCCAACCCATGCTCCTTTAGAGGCAGTGCTGCCTCCTCTGCCACCTAGGCCCAGTATCATGTCACGAGCTGGGTGGCTCTGGACCTGAGAGAGGCAGAGGCGTGGGATAGTCCAGCCCTGCAGCCGGTCTGGCCTGGGAGAGAGTGAATTTGAAGGCATGGCCATGGGAGAAACACAGCTTCAGGAGGCTGTGGGATGGATGGATTCTGTTCCAGGCCTCCTCTTCTTTTCAGCCTCTCTTTCTGCCAGAGCACACCTCTCCCCAACTTCCCAATCACACACCCCATTTCACTTGTCCCTGCCTTCCACAGTGCCCATATCTCTCATACCCTGAAGACCCAAGAGAAGTGTGTTCCCTCTGCCAGCAGGACAAGGCAATGGGGAGAAACGGAGTGGGGCCGATGGTATCAGTATTCCCACCACACTCGGGATAGGATGGGGAACACCCCGCTTTCCAAGGGGAAAGCAAACCATGCTGTTCACAGACTGGCCGTGGGGACACGTGGCCCATGCTGCTTTAGTTTACTCTTGGCTCTTCCGGTGGAACTGGAGAGCCCTAGACACGTGTGTTAGCCACTTCCAGAGCTCATGCTCCCAGAATGAGATCACAGCAAGACCTGCCCACATCCATCTGCAAAGCTCACAGCAGTTCCTGTCATCGGACTGTGATGGGTGTATAAATAATGAAGAGAATGGCATTCTAACCCTTTGGACTAAATCTCCAAGTCTACTGGCTCAAAAGCCCAAGGGACATAGCTGGTGGCAACAATAACACTTTTTCAGAATCAAAGGATAATACATAGAATTTAGAGTATAGAGTGTGTTTCCATCCATGATCTTGCCTTTTAGTCCCAATCTCCATTCAAAACAGAGTTGTTCTCAGTAGCCCACCACACAGATGAGGAAGACTGAGGCTCAGCCCCAGTTCTCTGAGGTTTTAGACAGCAGTGCCCAGACTTTCCCCGCTACACACTGCTGTGTCTCAGGGCACTGCTGCTGCCCTCAGAAGACACTTCCAGCCCACTCTCTGAAGTCAGGTAATAGCAGCAGATGCTAGACAAGAGGCCGGAACTGGCCCCCCTTCTTTGGAGACAGGAGACAAACCCCAAGGAGCAACCAAAAGGAAGGAATCTACACCAGGCACCGGCAGCAGTTCTTTCTGAAGCACGGATGCTCATACTCTCTAACTTACACATTTCTATAATGTCCCCACATTGCTATAATGTTCCCACATTCTTATAATAACCCTGTATTACTTTTATGATCTCCAAAAATCAATAACTATAAAACAGAAGCACCAGAAGAGTTCAAAGCAGCAAGGATCCCATTGAAAAACTGTCCTTAAAAAAAAAATGCCCTTGAAAACGATTT